AGAAAAGGCTAATATGCAGAATGACCGGTTGTTATGATGAGCACTGACCACCAGGGGGAGTGCCACTTAGCCAGAAGCCTGACTCACGGCTGGCAAGTACAGCAGCGGTGGCTGGAGCCTCTCCTGCCTCCACGGCAGCACTAAGGATTGGCAGCGTAGACACGCTCCCCATGGGTCCCTCTGCAGGCAGTTAGCCACCCCCCTAGAGCTCCCGGACAGCATGAGGGCGCTGGCCAGGTTGAGGGACGCCCCCTACAAGAGTGCACGACTTTTGTGCACCAGACCTCTAGCGATCTATAAGCATCTTATTTACGTATTTGATTATCTTTTTTCCCCATTGGAGTATAAGCTACAGGAGGCTGAGGCTGTCTCTGACTGACCCCTACAAAAGCATCCAGCACAAATAGATTCCCAAAAAACAATAGGTATCCAAAAAATATTTACATGATAAATGACTAAATAAGGTATGTCTCATCTCCTTTGTAGTTAAACACAGTGTACGGCACACCACAGGCCTTAGAAATGGGGAGGAGTACCAGTCACTGAACCCGGGAAGATTACTAGCAAGCCTATTTTTTCATCAGAAAATGAAGGTTACTCTTACATATCACTAGATTAGAAATGCACTTCAGTAAAAAAGAAGCCCTGATTCACTTAGGCTTTACATGGTACTGATTTTTTTCCTAAAAAGGCAAGTTTTTCCTTAAGTACAAGTAAAGACCCTTCTGGACTCCCAGGAGCAGTTATCTCCAGCAGTGACATCCTTGGATGTAACGGGGATAATATTAATACTACTAGAGACCTGGTGCATGAAATTCATGCACTGGAGTCGGGGGGGGTGGGGCAATAGGGAGAGGGTGTTCCTCAGCCCAACCTACACCCTCTCCAATCTGGGACCAGAATTGGGCCTAAACTGGCAGTTCGACATCCCTCTCACAATCTGGGACTGCTGGCTTCTAAATGCTCGCCCACCTGCCTGCCTGATCGCCCCCAACTGTCCTCCCCTGCCACCCCCTTTGCTCCCAACTGCCCTCCCCTGCCAGCCTGATAGCCCACAACTGTCCTCCCTGTCAGCCATCTTGTGATGATATAAGGGTGCAAGGGCCTGAGGGCCACCTAGGCTTTTATTAGTATAGATTCTTCCAGTTTTTTTGTATCTTTTGGTATCAGTAACCTAAGAGGTCATCAGTACTAATCTCCAGTGAAAAGTACCCACAGAAATTACATGGAATCTTCCAGATAAACACTCCAGCCTTCCTAAGATGTGCAAATGAGGTCTGTTAGCATAACCTCCCAGGTAGAACTTGCTCATTCCTACTGATCTTAATAGTAACCTACATCAGTGTTTGGAAAAATTCCATTATGGCTCTCTCTCTATAAAACCAGTTTTATAAAATTCAGTGTGTGTGCCTGAATTATGTTCCAACGTATATGTCTGTACTTGTATGTACACACATTAGTTTTGTTTTATATCCTGACACCAAACAAGCAATATGACAAAAACCAATCATCTTCAAACCATTTATTGTCATAAAAAAGTTAAAAAACATTAAAATAAAATGAGGGTCTTTACAAGATAACAATGATAGAATTTACAAAACTCCTTGGATGTAAGGGGGCTAATACTACTACTACTACTACTACTACTAGAGGCCCGGTGCATGAAATTCATGCACTGGGGTGCCCAGCCTGCACCCTTTCCAATCTGGGACCAGGATTGGGCCTAAACTGGCAGACGGACATCCCTGCTACTCTAGGCATCTCTTATTCCTTCCTATTTATCCCACCGATTGAAAGCTGAGCAGTGCAGTGGAAAACTATCTGGGAGTCACAGAATTGACAGGAAAACTCCGTTGTGTGCTCTGTGCTGGGGTAAAATTACAATGAAAGGGTTTCATGTTTCCTGATTTTTGCCTGGCTTTAATTGAGTTATTTTTCATTTGGTAGATATATGTGCCAGGAGGGAACATAATGCAGTTAGGACAGCATCCTGTGGGACAATGTGACTAGACATAGCCATGAAAAGGAGGTGGGGTTAAGACCACTGGCCCCAGATTGCTGAAGGAAGTGAGATAGGTCAGTGCAGACAGAAGCTGTCAGCTGCCCCCAGTTCCTGAAGCACTGAGTCGAAGGATGCTCGAGGAGAAGTTGACAGAAGTAAATGCTACTGTCTACTAAACTCTATGCGGCCATTAAGAGAAGACCTCCATCAAGATATGCCCTCTGGGGAGGTGGAGAAAAATGATCCTATGGCAAGAAAGCGGAGAAATGCTAACCTCTGCAGAAATCATAGAATTGAGTTCTCCATGCACTTACTGAGTAGTAAAGCCGTACATGTGTACAACTGAATTTCTACACATCAGTTATTGTTATGCAAACAGCTAAGATGTTATTATTTACAAATAGCTATAGAGATTTAAATCATTTCTGTTTTTTTATACTGGCTGGAAAGACAAAGAAAAAGAAGTGTTGCCTTTATGAATAATTCTCATAAATAGATGAGTAATTATATTAACACAAAGCATAATGAACCTATCAATATATAAAGAATGAAAATATTGCCAAAGTAATGATACTACAGAAACATAAACTCCCAGATATCAGAGCAGGAGGAGGGTGAGGAAGGCGGTCCCAGAGGCCACTTGAAGA